CTAACAAGGATGTAATGAAAATTCTGACCTATCTTATTTAATCTTTATACGGTGCCTGGAACATAATAAACATTCTAACTGTTAGCTATTATTATATTGTCTCATCTTTATTTGAAGCTTAGTGAAGAGTTTTCTTTGCTACTGTACTTTGTTTAAGATTCTGAAAATACAACAAAATGATGGGAATGTGAAAGAAGATAATTTCATTGTTAAATTTCAGTCTGTTTTCTGACTTGAAAGCCTGAGAAATCAGGTTGTGGAAAATGATATTTAATAATCAGATTGTCTAAAAAAAAAACAAAAAAAATCAGATTGTCTAAGGTACCTATTTTTTAAAAGAAATGACCATATTTTAATCAATATATTTTTTCAGGAGTAGTAAAACGTATCATTCCTGCAGTAGCTTCCACAAATGCGGTCATTGCAGGTAAGGAAAAATGGCCACCACTTAACTTTGGTTTCCCTTTCCTTTGGTTTTTGATTCATTATCTAAATTAACATCCCTGCAGCTACTTGGTTTCAGAAAACTGGCATTCCAATAATCTGATATCTTCTTGGGTGTTGTAATTAAGCTGTCCAAAAAAGAATAAGCTGTTGGATCTGTGTATATTTGGTCTTACACTATGTCATAGATAAAAATGCTCTGCAGTAAGGGGACATTTTAATGCCTTTCCCTTTAATCAGTGTTAACAGGTTGCTCATTAATCTGAAGAAGAGGAAGGAAAGCATGTAACTCTGTTAACTTGGGTTATACAAAAGAAATATAAAATTTGTTACTTTCTCAGTTTTTTTTTTTAAAAGTATATTTTTTATTATCAGTTTATCTGTTCTGATTTGTAACTTTGAAAAACTTGAAATTTTAAATGTCTGAATTGCATCAAGTTGAAGCACCTTTATTTTCTTCCCCTCTTCAGCTGTGTGTGCCACTGAGGTTTTTAAAATAGCCACAAGGTAATAATGGATTTCATTTTTTAAGGTGTATGTAAATTGATCTTTTGGTTTGGCTCAATTATATAAAGATGAACCATTTTTCATTGCAGTGCATATATTCCACTTAATAATTACTTGGTTTTCAATGACGTAGATGGACTGTACACATACACATTTGAAGCAGAGAGAAAGGTTAGTATTATAGTAATGAAAACTTTTTTCGATCATTTACACTTAGATTTTTACATACTAATTATTGGTTAGAGATATAAATGAAATTGCCCACATCCTAAGTATTTTCTAACTTTTAGAACCCTACTCACTGTGTATCTTTTGCAGTATAGCCCGAAATAAATACTATGTAGAAAAATAATTTAGGAGATTTTAGAGCATAAAAATTTGTTCATAGGAAATATGCATAATTACAAAACAAGTTGATTTTCATTTGATCATTATAAAGTATTATTGGTTCATATGCCTCTGTGATCTGTTATGTTTTACATATGTAGGAAAACTGCCCAGCTTGTAGCCAGCTTCCTCAAAATATTCAGTTCTCTCCATCCGCTAAACTGCAGGAGGTTTTGGATTATTTAACCAATAGTGCTTCTCTGTAAGTGTTTTGGACTTTTGTTTTGTTGTAGAAATACTTTTGTGATTTTAAAGCTTTAAAAACTAGAATTGTTTTTTTTAAAAAGTGATATTTAATTTTGTTTGTTTCCCTGCTCATAATTATATTTAGGCAGATGAAATCTCCAGCCATCACAGCCACATTAGAGGGAAAAAATAGAACACTTTACTTACAGGTAATCAGTGTTTGTTGCTTTTTGTTTTTTGGATTTTTTTTCCCCACAAAATTATATTACAAGTTTAAATTCATTTTATGTGCTTTACATTAAAATAATTTTGTTTTCTAGTCAGTAACCTCTATTGAAGAACGAACAAGGCCAAATCTCTCCAAGACATTGAAAGGTATTTTAAATGAGTATTTTACTAATCAATTTCTTCTTTTCTTTTTTCCTCTTGGTAAAAGTAAAAAATGCTTATTCTAGGTTCATTTTAATGCCTTTAAATGGTGATATCATTGTAATTATGTCTTGAGAAACAATAATAGAATTGCTCTTTTAGCAGAATGTTTAAAAATCTCTAAGAAATCAAACTTAATATTACCTTGATTAAGGAGAACTGGATTTTGATGTTTATCTAGACATAAAACTGTGTAGTTTGTGTGCATTGTGCATTTTGTTGAGATTTTTTTGCTTGGGTTAATTATACTTTTTTCTGTTTTAGAATTGGGACTCGTTGATGGGCAAGAACTGGCAGTTGCTGATGTCACCACACCACAGACTGTACTATTCAAGCTTCATTTTACTTCTTAAGGAAAATAAATCTGCACATAATAGAAAACTCACGGAAATATTATATTATGTGGATGCTAAGAAATTTAATGTCATTTTTAGCATTAGTGTTGCTGGACTTTTGACTTTTTTTATATAATGAACCACTCTTTTTAAAATTTATAACTTACCCTTGAAGACAGAATTTTAGGGTTGGTACTTGTAAGCATTTTCATTAATAATATGGGAAATGATGCCTGGAGAGAAAGATAATGAGCAAATATATTGCTTCTTTCAAAGGAGGAGGCGAGCACTCTCTTGTGTCTGAATTTTGTTCCTTTGGTCAAAGAATGCATTCCTCAGTTTTCAAAGATGTCCCTTTAAAGGAAAAAGGAAAATTAAGTTTTAAATAACATTGAGTATTACACCCTGACATCTAGAGCATATTAAACATAGCCTATTTCTTGCTTGATTTAATATTCATTTAGTTGTAGTTGTCCAAATGAATATTAATTATTGCAAAGGTTACCTTGTCCATAATAATTTGTAAATGGTGTTATAGCTGAATACCTGTGCATGAAAATGGGAACTATTTTCATGTTTACTTGTAGTGCCATAGAGGCCAATATGCACAATATTAAAGCCAAGACTTGAATGTTTAAAAGAATTTAATGTTCAGTTATCACTGATGCTTTCACACTATTTATTAATAAAATCATATATTGTCTACTTTTCTCAGTGAAATTTTTTTTAAGTATATTAAGGATAAGTATAGTTGCATAGTAATACAGGAATAATTTTTAAATGTGTAGTAGGATTACTAATACAAAACTTTTGTGGTACCTGAATTAATACTTTTACCATAATAAATACCTCCTGATTGAATTTGCTTTAACATAATAATGTAATGAAATAGAATCTTCTTATATTAAGGTCTCTTAAAATGCCTTTTTTCCCCTGTAAAAAAATAAGCCTTAAAATTAAGTGTAAGTTTTGAAAAGTTGAGTTTTAGTATCTCTGTGGGAACATGTTTATTAGTTTTTGACTTGGGTGGCAGTTTTCTATTCAGAAACCTTGTGATTACATGTCACTGGGTTAGATTTTTATTTATTATTCTTTTTAGCTCCAAACTTATGTTTCATAATAAAGACATATGAGGAAAAACAATAATTGCTTTATTTACAAAACTACAGATTCAGTTTGAATTTTTGAACATGAAGCAACTTTTACACCACCTTTATACGGGTGTTCTAATAACTCCCAAAGTCACCGTGTGAGGTGATAGCCTCTCCCTGCGAAAGTCAAAGGTTTTAGAAAGCTTGTATCATTTACCCAAAACTGTATATTAGAGATCTTGGAACGGGGATTTCGATCTCAGTCTGCTCCCAGCCTCCTGCTCAGTCTATTTATTTAAACTTAAGAAACAGCTTAATACTTCAAGGGTAATCTACTTGTGTATAATACTAAGTTTAAAGAGTTTCAACATGAAAATTTTTACTGGTTAGGTGAAATTATTGGACGGTTATAACTTCTCAAGGGTAGAGTTTAAATCTGATTTTATTTATTTTTTTAATAAAGTTTTTTTTTTTTAAATTTATTCATGATAGACATAGAGAGAAAGAGAGGCAGAGACACAGGCAGAGGGAGAAGCAGGCTCCATGCCCGGAGCCCGACGCGGGACTCGATCCCGGGACTTCAGGATCGCGCCCTGGGCCAAAGGCAGGCGCCAAACCCGCTGAGCCACCCAGGGATCCCCCTGATTTTGTTTTATAGGAAAATCATTCCTTTATGGCATAGTTGCTTACACTGAGGTAAAATACTTAAGTGTAGGAGGCAGGCAGGTTAATGTAAATTATCACAGCAGGGAGGTATAATGAGGTTTAATAAGATTAGTGGGGTTTGTGGCAAATGGTGAAAATTATTTGCCCAAAGAGGCAACGACCTCAACCATCTGTGCCATGTTAGTATCCATATATTTCAAAAGCACGTGGAAGTCTGGGTTTTTGTACAGATTCCCCCAGCTTCTTTTAAATGTTGACAGAATTTTGCGCTCAATGCTGTGGAGTCCAGATTCCATAGCTGCTGACCAGATTCGGAAGGTCACCAACCTGGTATTTCTCATCTAGCGAAGTGTTTGAAGAGTGAGTGCAGGAAAAGCTGTATTGTAAATAACGTGCACGAACACACGAACGCGGGAACAGTGGAGTCTTGGCAGGTTAGTTTCGACTGAGGCCGAGAGTGGCGCTGCACCGTCAAGAGGTGCCATTCTGTACCCTAGTTCCAACTAGTCACACGCTGCGGAGGACGCCTTTTTACTTACGTCACCAGGCGGGTTGGGCCTGGCCTTTTATACAATGTCCAGGATTTTGAGGCAAACCCAAGCCCAGGGTTCCTCCTGAAGGCCACGTTAACACCCGACTGATTAAATATTTGAGACAAAGCGCTAATAGGCGAGGCCAAACTTCCTCCGTTTGCAACTCTCGCTGGCAAGGCGTCAGCTCTCAGCGCGTGCGCCAGTTCCTAGGAGGGGGCCCACGCGAAAAGCAGCCTTTCCTCCCGGAGGGCTGGCTCCACCGCGGCCCCGGCGGCCGGATGTTTGCGCGCTACGCCTGGAACCAGCATCCACAGCAGCAGTTCCGCGTTCTCCGTAACTAATGGCAATCCCCGGGTCCCGGATGTGACGTCACGTTCCGCCCGCTCCTCCGTCCGTTGACGGAACTCTGGGCTCCCGGATTTGGTGGCTGTGGACGTGGACGAGGCCGGCGCATGCGCAGGCCGCGCCTCCCGCCTCAGCGGTGCGGGAAGGGCTGAGCGCAGCCTCCCGGGCTCGGTCGGGGGAGACGGTCGGGGTCATGGCCAGCCGCTGACAGGGCTCGCCGAGGGCGGAAGGGGGCGAGGCCGTCCCGCCGCACCCCTCCCCGGGCCTGAGGCCGGTCGGCCTGGCCCTCGGCCTTCCCGCTCGGTGCTGCCGCCGCCAGTGCCGGCTGAGGACGGGAGATGAGTTGGTTCAACGCCTCGCAGCTCTCCAGCTTCGCGAAGCAGGCCCTGTCCCAGGCCCAGAAGTCCATCGACAGGGTCCTGGACATCCAGGACGAGGAGCCGAGCGCCTGGGCCGAGACCATTCCCTACGGAGAGCCGGGTAAGGGAGGGGCGGGGCGGGGCGGGGCCGGGCCGGGCCGGGCCGGGCCGGGGTCTCCTCCGCCGACGCAGGGCTGCGGGCAAGTTCCGCCTCCCCAGCCCGCCCGCCGTTCGCTGGGGTCCGGAGGAAACCCCGGGGCCCCGGGGGCCCTGGCGCCTGCGGCCGCGGGTGCGGGTCCCGCCGGCCTCGGAAAACGCGCTGCTGGTTTGTCGGGCTTGTTCCCCGCCCTCCGTCGACGTAGCTCGGGGCGCGAGCCCCCAGAAGCTGGGGGCCGGGGGGCGGGGGGGCAGCCCGGGCGCCGGAGCAACAGGCCCCAACACCTGGCGGGGAGCCGGACGTGCCTTTCCGTGGCTTTCCCGGCGCCCACACAGCTCCTCGAGTTCGGTTGTCCAGAAGCCGAGGACGAGGCAGGGAAAGGCGGCGCAGCGGGTGGGGGGCACGGCGTGGGGGAGGTGCCCCCGTGCGGGTCGCACCAGGACTCTCGGACGAGCTGCGTCTCCCCTGGTCACGTCTCTTGAGCCGAGCCTTTCAGGCATCCTCAGCTGCTTTGGCTCTAGGTCTAGGGAACACTCCAGCATTTGGGTGTCAGGGATAGAAGGTGACATTTGTCGGGGGTGGGGAGTAACTCCGCTTCCTTTTCCCCAGATGCCCCCTGCATTTCTGAACCTTAGAGGCAACAGAATATACATTTTAGATGTAAGGGTACTCATTTTGTGTAAACCTGGGGCTTGAATCGTCTAGAGATGTAGGAAAAGATGTTAGGGTTCGAAGCCCACGGCCAAGAAAGAATTCTCAGGGTGCAAAAAGGTGGTTTTATTAAAGCACGGGGACAGGACCCATGGGCAGAAGGAGCTGCCCTGGCATCGTGGGGAGTGGCCCATTATATACTTTCGCGTGAGGCTAGCTAGTTAGGAAAAGGTCATTTATTACTGCTCAGTAAAAACTCAATTGTAAGACTCTTCAGATGTATATCCCTGGGCCATATGCTTGGGAGGGTTATTGCCAACATGTATCTTGGGGAGCCGAGATAAAGGAAGGTCCCAAAGGAATTTACAAATGTTAGAGTAAACTTACAGGATCCTGGGGAGGCGGGGGGGGGGGGGGGTGTGTGTCAGGCTAAGATTGCTTTTGCCCTTAAAGAATTAACATCCAGGTAGCTGAGTTCCTAAAAGGAATGTTACTCTGCCTGTTTTAAGGACTTGTCAGTGGGATGCAAGTAGTAAAGAAACGTAATAATTTTTCTTTTCGCCTTTGTGCCCCACATCAGTCTTTAGGATTCACTCTTCAAAATAAGTTATCCAGAATATCCATTTGGTGAAATGCTATGAATATTTGTTGATCGCCCATGATTATTTTGCCTTACTCAAGGATGACCAGTGGATGTCAGATGACCCTGGGGTTTATAGAAAACATTCTTCAGTTTCTGCAAGAGGCAGATTTGACTTCTGTCTTTCATTAAGATGACCTGCTAAATTAAACTAATTAGCATACTTAATCTTGCTTGTTCTTTTGCATTTTTACTTACGGTTTTCTCTTTTTTTTTTAAAGATATTTATTTATGTATTTATTCATTAATTCATTCATTCATTCATGAGAGACAGGGGGGGGGCAGAGACACAGGCAGAGGGAGAAGCAGGCTCCATCCAGGGAGCCCGATGTGGGACTCGATCCCGGGTCTCCAGGATCACGCCCTGGGCTGAAGGCAGGCGCTAAACCGCTGAGCCACCCAGGGATCCCCGGTTTTCTCATTTTTTTCATTGTTTTCGTATACTGGACCAATGGGTATAAAACTGTGTCCCCCAATTGAAGTATCCTACATACTTATGAAATCATATTATAGAGTAGACTTTAATATAGGGCGCGATAGTTTTGGGGAGCTTTTCAGTGCTTGTTCTCTCCCCACCAACTTCAAATTGTGTAGAATTTGTGATAATTCTTCTCAGCCACTTTTGAATTTAGAAAAGGAAGAATTTTTTTTAAAAAGAAGTGCTGTAAGTATTTTAGTAAGTATGCCCTTTTTTTATCATTGGGTTTTTTAGTACCATGTATTTCTGTGACTGAATCATCTTTTTTTATTCAGAAGAAAGTTATTTTCTCTGTGGTATTTTTAAAAAGGCCTAGTGTAAGCTACCATCTATATAAAAAAATACTTCTTAAAAAATGCACGTCTTTGAAATTCATATGACTTTTTTTCTTTTTAAGGTTTTAGTTTATTTACTTATTTATTTAAGTAGATTCCACACCCAGCATGGAGCTCCGTGCAGATCTTGAACTCAGGACATGAGATCAAGAACTGAATTGAGGTCAAGAGTTGGAAGCTTAACTGACTGAGCTTCCCAAACACTCTTTTTATATTTTTTTTTTATATTTTATTTTTAAGTAATCTGTATATCCACAGTGGGGCTCGAACCCTCAACCCTGAGACTAAGAGGTACATGCTCCATTAAGCCAGCAGGTGCCCTTGAAATTCATAAGACCTTCTAAATTCCCCCTAAATTTGGAACTTAGGAGGGGAACAAAACTTCCTTGTAGACTGAGTTGGGAGAGTGGCACTTGGAGAATGAACTTGTCATTAAGTGGATAAAAATGAATTTGTCCCCTAGAAGGTACTGTTCCCATCAGTTTACTTTGATCTTTAGAAAAGGACATTTGTCATGAATATGTTGGGTTTAGTTTTTGAATGTTACCCTTTGTCCAACTCATAACCATGTTTTATTACTGATATTATAAGAATAAAGTTAATATGAAACTATCTGAATAGAAGGTAGGGTCAATTTGCTATGACCACATATGACCTGTGAATGAGTGTACTGTCTGTTGTTGTGAGATGCATCCTGTGTGTCTTAAACTTAGCATGAGTTATATAATGTATACTGGTACTCTCATAATTTGTCGTATGAGGGAATAACATACTTGCTTCTGGTAGGTCAGATCCATTTTGGTCTCTTAACCTTTGCTCCTAGTTCCTTTTGGGCAAATCCATACCAGTTTTCCTCTTTAGGCCCAAAGTTCAACAATGACCTAATTAATTATACAGTCAGCAGGGAGCTTAACAGGTCCAAATTGTAAGTCATAAAGCATAAGTTTCCTTTTTTTTAAAACTTTCTTTATATTGACTTATAATGATTGTAATAACATAAAATGTATATATATGTATATATTTTTTTTTCTCTTTTAACACATATGGATATTTTTTCTTAAAGGAATAAGTCCCCCTGTCAGTGGAGGATGGGATACTTCAACCTGGGGGTTAAAGTCAAATACAGAACCTCAGAGTCAGCCGGTAGCCTCTCCTAAAGCAATTACAAAGCCAGTTCGGAGAACTGTGGTAGATGAATCTGAAAATTTCTTTAGTGCCTTTCTCTCTTCTACGGATGTCCAGACCATTCAGAAGAGTCCAGTGGTATCAAAACCACCAGCTAAATCACAACGACCAGAAGAAGAAGTGAAAAGCACTTTACAGGAATCCTTGCACACTGGACAGTCAAGAACATCTGAAACAACTGAGTCAAAAGTAAAAGACTCTACTCAATGTGTATCAGGGGAAACTCTGGCAGTCGATTCTCTGTCACCTAAAACTGAGGGCAAGTGTGAAGAGACAATTAATAAACAATCTGATATGAAGGTATCAACTGTACGTTTGAAAGTGTCTGAAAGTGTAATTAATGTGAAAACAACTAGAGAAAATATATCTAATATGTCTATGGCAGAAACAAAGGACATGGTTTTGGAACCTAAGGAACAAAAACATGAAGACAGACAGAGTAACACACCTTCTCCTCCTGTCAGTACCTTCTCATCTGGTACTTCTACCACCAGTGACATTGAAGTTTTAGATCATGAAAGTGTAATAAGTGAGAGCTCAGCAAGTTCGAGACAAGAGACTACAGATTCAAAATCAAGTCTCCACTTGATGCAGACATCTTTTCAGCTTCTCTCAGCATCTGCTTGTCCTGAATATAATCGTTTAGATGATTTCCAAAAACTCACCGAGAGTTGTTGCTCATCTGATGCTTTTGAAAGAATAGACTCGTTTAGTGTACAGTCATTAGATAGCCGTAGTGTAAGCGAAATCAATTCAGATGATGAACTGTCAGGCAAGGGATATCCTTTAGTACCTATCATAGTTAATCCTTCAACTCCAAAGACTAAAATAAATGAATCAGTTGAAGGAAAATCTGAAGAAGTAGTGAATGAAACTTTAATTATACCCAATGAGGATACAGAAATGGAAGAAAGTGGACGAAGTGCAACACCTGTTAATTGTGAACAGCCTGATATTTTGGTTTCTGCTACACCAATAAATGAAGGACATACTGTCTTAGACAAGGTGGCTGAGCAGCATGAAACTGCTGAAAGTAAGCCAGAAGCGCATTCTGAGAAGGAAGATGTTTGCAAGGTAACTCTAGAAACCAGAAAGGGATTTGGGGATATGCCTTATAGAAATTAAATCATTGTTTTTAATCACTGTTTATTTTTAACATTCAGTATTGTATGATGATTGTTACTGACTAAAAAAGACAGGCATTTTGTTTTTGTTTTGTTTTGTTTTTAAGACAGGCATTTTGACCCAGGTGTAGCATTAAGGATTTTAAAACTGATCAATTACTGATACTAAATTACTTGAAATTTCTCTGAGGCAACTATGATAACATAAATCGCTATTTCAATATAACTAAGCATAAAAAAGTCTCCCATCTTGCGCCAGTACTGTTGAGTCTTTTCACCTATGGTTTTTGTATGCTGTGCTCGTTTATTTGTCATTTTGTGAAGGATTGTCTTATGCAAATGTAAATCTTCAAATCCTTTGTAGGTAAAGATGCTGAAACGAATATAAATATATGGTTTTTCTTACATCAAAAAATTTTCTCATGTTCACATTATTTGTAGCAAATCTTAAGTGTAGTCTTTAAGTATTGATGTGTTTCTGTTATTATTAATTCCTTGTTTGTTTTCTCTTTTATGTTATTTTGATGTTTCCCTGATAGCTATCTTACATGAATAAGAATGGGAAATGTCCAAGGAACAATGAATGGTATTGCTTAGGAATAACAAATTGCTTCTACCTAATACCTATAAAAGAAAAGTGGTGTAAATTCTTTAACATAAGTCACAGTTTTGGTTTTTCCTATGATTTTTAGATATAGAAATTGAGTTGGATTTGGCATCTTTAATAGACTCCTCTGAGATATAGGATGTCTTGAAGAAATGTCCTGTAAGTGCCATGTATTGAATTATTTAATGCAAAAAAAAGTGCCAGATTCTGTTACTTAGGTTTAATATTATTCACAAATGAAATGCCATGCTCTAGCTATAATAGTGGTTTGAATTCCTGAAACCAATACTGTTTAGTATCAATAAAATAATTTTGATCTACTTTCCGAAGGTAAGTGATTTCTAAATCTAGACCTCAATCAGGTAAGACCATTTTTTTTAGTGCATAAAATCGTCATTCCTCCCCTCATACACAACTTTATCACTACTTCCGCAAGACCTAAGGAGTAAGATATTCTAACCATTCCTTTTCGTTTAGCTTTATACTGGTATATTCTGGAGATTTTTTTAAAGTTACAGGTCTAATGATTATCTAAAATTACTTTTACTTTTTAAATGCAAAGTATCATACTAAAAAAAAAAGGTACACATATTTGGATTAAAGAATAATGTGGAAAAACACTTTTATATCCACTACTCAGCTAAGATAGAGAATATTACTAGAGTTTTTAAAGCCCCCTTTGATCTTTTTTTTTTATTTTCTCTATTTCCCTTCCTCTTTTGGTGGATGTGCACATCTTTCCTAGGTTTTTGCTGTAACAAACTTGTAAATATTCTTGTATTTTTATGCAAGACTTTTCTCTAAAGCATATCTAAAAGAATTTTCTACATTAAAGAGTGTGTAGATCTTCAGTTAGATATTGACTAATTGTTTTTCCAATGTGGTTTACTAATTTATACTCCTACCAGCTATGTGGTTGCACTCATTTATACTCTCCTACCAACGATGTATGAGTTCTTGTTGTTCTGAATCCTCTATGTTCTCAGTATTGTTTTAATTCCTTTTATGAGATAACACTCTTATTTATAATAGTGATTAGATTATCTTTACAACTTATCACCTGCATGTAGAAATGGTTTTTTAAGTTAAATATTTGACTTTTGTATATTCTCCTTATTCAGAGAGTTGAATTTCTGAATGAAAAACTGGATAAAAGGGAGGCTCAGTTATTATCTCTTAGTAAAGAAAAAGCACTTCTAGAAGAAGCCTATGATAATCTGAAAGAGTAAGTATTTTTACAGATGTGCATAATTTTATGTTTTGTAGAGGCCTAAATACTTGGTTATTATTTAAGAATGTTTTTAAAACTAAAGTGTTTAAAATTTAACTTGTGTACAGTTGTTGAAAATGGAATAATATTTCAATTCTCAACTATAGATTTCTTTTCTCCTCAAATATCTTTACTATATTACCTTTGGCATTGAAGAGAAGTATGTGGAATAACAAAACAAAAAACCTTTTTCCTTTTTACTATTAGAGATTGAAAACTTGTATTTAAAAAAAAAAAAAAAGAAAACTTGTATTTAAAGAAAACTATGATATTAGAAAAACACTGAATATATTTGCCGTAAGGAGGTGGTTAGTAAAATGTTAACAGATTGAAAACTGAAAAATTTTGTTTACCTTTCTCTTATTTTTACACATCAAATATTGGTGACATTTTGACTTCTAATGGGTTTTCATTGAGATGTTTTAAAATAAATTAAGCAGATAATTTGTCTTTTAAAAGTTAACAGGCTTAAAACTAACCAATTTTAGTAAAGTATATATTGAAGAAAATGTTATTTCCTTTTGGAAACAACTGCACTCCTCTTGTTACCTAGGAATATGTAAACAGGTATTTCTGTCTGTTGTTTTTAATTTAGTGAAATGTTTAGAGTAAAAGAAGAAAGCAGCAGCATTTCTTCCTTGAAAGATGAGTTTACTCAAAGAATTGCAGAAGCAGAAAAGAAAGTTCAGCTAGCCTGCAAAGAGAGAGATGCTGCTAAAAAGGTAAATGAAAGTTAAAAATAATATTAATTAAATTCTATACAGATGTGGATTTTTTGAGGGATGCATTCATAATATTTTGGTATGGAAAAAAGAAGATTAAAGGATACCATCTAGTATATTAACAAATTATAGATTTCTTAATACCTTTAGACTTACAGATTTTTGATACTTTAAACAAATCTAAACCAGTGTTTGTATAATTCATCTGCAAGTCCCTTGTATATATAGGTAGGATCATTAGAATAATTTTCATAAATGATAATTTCATCAAAATAAATAAACCTAAGTGCACTGTATAATTTTTTTTTTGAGTATCATTACTCTCGTTTGTTACTGCTTCAAATCTATGTGTTTTTTCAAGTCAAAATAATTTTAAAATAAAAGGATTGTTAAGAGTTAGTGACTCTTGTGAGGCACAGTATTGATTTATTCTAATACAGGATTTCTCAGCCGCAGTACTATTCACATTTTGGGCTGGATAATTTTATGTTGTATGGGACTGTTCTGTGCACTGTAGGATGTTTACCAGCATCCAGGGCTCTAACTACAAGACACCAGTGTCACCCTCACCTCCGCATCTCCCAGTGCACATCCATCACTCCCTTCCCCAAGTTGTGATCATTGAAAATGTTGGCAGACTTTGCCAGATGTCCTCTTAAGAACAAAATCACTCCTGTTTGGGGGCCACTGTTCTAATTTTTACCATTTATAGCAGTTGGCTATTTCAAAAGTTGGTAACCAGATAAGGTTAGTAATTATTTCTTCTAACCCAACTCTTAGTAATAACATTTCTCATCATTAGCCCTTTTCAGCTAAGCTGCTTTCCTTCTTGACCAGTGTTAATGTTTATATTTTTTCTTTGTATACTGTTACAGAAGAGAAATAAGTCATATACTTCCTTCTGCTTAGGTTGCTTTAATTAGGTAACTCATTTCAGATATAATAACTTGACAATAACTTGAGACTACCTAACCAACTTACTTTTTCTTGTCCCTACTGTATTCCATCTAAACCAGGCTAATTGAGAAATCAGATTTTAAATAATGCTTGTTTTCTGTAATGTACTTTGAATTGTAGATCTAAGATAGACCCAAACCATTGAGTATAGGTGGGAAAAGCTTGGGCCCTAAGTTTTTTGTTTTTTTTTTTTAATTTTTTTTGGGGGGGCCCTAAGTTTTAACACGTTTTATGTGTACTGCTATATATGATCCCCCTACTTAGGATCTATAGGAAATTCAGGGTGAATTGAATTCCCTTAAGCGAAGAGTTTGCTTTTCTAGTGATGGAAAACAGATAATGTCAACACTTACATAGTACTAGGCAGAATGAAACAAATTAGAGATAAAGATGAATAAGCAGTTTGGAATGGTATCACAGGATAAATTCTGACCGGGGGAATTGAGGAAAGTTTCATGGAAGGCAGGAGAGTCTTATTGGGCCTTGATGGATGAATCAAATTTTGACAGTTGGAAAATACACAGCAGTATTGTGAATGGTTCGGAGAATGGGCTTATGGGCTTTGTGGACTCCAACCTGGTTTCCAGCGCCTAGGTGGTTCAGTTGGTTAAGGCTCTGCCTTTGGCCTACATTCTAGTCCTCAAGTCCCATTTCCAGCTCCCTGCTCAGTGGAGAGTCAGCTTTTCCCTCTCCCTCTGCTCCTCTCCATTTGCACTCTGTCTCTCGCTCACTCTCTCAAATAAATAAAATATTAAAAAAAAAACACCTGGTTTCAAGTTAAACTCTACCACTTAATAGCTCTCTGACCTTCAAAGTTTATTCAGTCTCTCAGCGTCTTAGTTTTCTTATTTGTGTAATTGAATAAAATACCTCCCTCATAGGATTGTTGTGAGGATAAAATAATGGGTATAATGCATGGTTTAAATACCTGATGTTAGTTGTTTTTAGCTGTTGTTTGGTTTCAGATCATTGCTTAAAACCCAATTTTAAGTATGATTATACAACACTTTTCCCATCACCATACATACTTCTCCATTGTGGTTTTGAAAGATAAACTGTCTTGACATGTTTGTGCTGAATCTCTGCCTTATTAAAGTAGGTTGAACCTTATTATGTTTTCTCTTATTTCACAATGCACTAGCAAGTACAAGTTTTAGATGAGGAAAAAAAAACAGTGAAAAATAGAGACATATGTTCTTCCAAATATTATACTTCACCTGAAAAAAGAATGTGTATAGAGATACTCAAGAAAGGTATTGAAAGTTAACTTATTCTCATTTGCATTTGCATTTTTTTTTAAAGATTTTATTTATTTATTCATGGGAGACACAGATCGAGAGAGAGGCAGAGACACAGGCAGAGGGAGAAGCAGGCTCCATGCAGGGAGCCTGATGTGGGACTCGATCCTGGGTCTCCAGGACTATACCCTGGGCCGAAGGCAGGCGCCAAACCGCTGAGCCACCCAGGGATCCCCTCATTTGTATTTCCATATTAAAACTTGTTTATACATGAATTCTGGTTTTCTGTGTTGTTTCAAAACTGTTTACTTAATTAACCAAGGTAATAATAAACTTAGTTTAACAGAATAAAACTTACAGATCTTTATCGAGAATTTGATTATTGATGACTTTTTTGGATATGGAAAAAATGAAAAATATGCCCAGAATGAAAGTAATTCCTTATGATATTCACATTCTTTTTTTTTTTTAATTAGGAAATCAAAAGTATAAAAGAAGAACTTGCTACTAGATTAAATAGCAGTGAGACTTCAGACCTTTTGAAAGAGAAAGATGAGCAGATCCGAGGGCTAATGGAAGAAGGTGCGTAAAGTATTTAGTTAACTATGAAAAATACTGTAAGAATGGGAAAAATACTTGCCACCTGATTAGCTGCTACTTCTTAATAAAAAACACTTGGAAGCAAGAAAAGTTTGTGCTTAAACCTCAGAAATGGTAGGTGACAATTTATGGAAGAATGGGGAGCAATATATATAGAAGCAGAGATGCGTTATATGTAGCCTTCTTTTTCCTAGAGTAAAAAAAAAAAAAACAACAAACTTGCTGAAAAATAAATGTGGTTTCATAAAAAGAGCTTTTTTTTTTTTTTCATAAAAAGAGTTTTTAACAGGTTTTAGAGCTGTCACATAAAGCAAGGTATTTGAGGGCTATTATCCTGGAATATATATAGTATTTGAATATCTGGCTTGGGTACTATGTGGTATCATATTGTTTAGTTGTTTGATAGTGAACTTTTTGTTATACTCTTGTTTTAATTTTTCAGTTATTTAACATTTTGTGAAAAGACTTAAAATTAGCAAGGTTGTAGAAATTAAATACCCTTCATGAGAAAAATTGTTATAAATAGACACTGGATTAATTTCTTTATGTACTATCATAGGAAAGAAGGTAGTTTTGGAAAAGGTGATTAAATTTTTAAAGTTTTTCTAGTTGTAAGAATTACACTTGCTACTTGGAGAAATTTTTAAAGTTTTAGGAGACAGGAAGAAAAAATAGATCATAACCCATTTTATAGGGAACTATCAATTTCTTCTAGTTCTTTTTTAATGCGTTTTTAATACATTGTTAAGCATAATTAAGGTTACGTATTTAATTTGTAATCTTTTACATTTTCATAATTCTTTTACATTTCCCTATGCTATTAAATGCTTTGCTAGCATTATTAATGGCTTTTAAAGTCCATTATATGGCCATAGACCATAATTTATTTTATTCTTTTTCTAATGTACATTTATTTCTAAAATGTTAATATTACACATAGTTTTTAGATGAACATTTCTGTGCTTAAATCATTGAATTTAAGAGAATTTTCAGAGTAAGTGTTAGAAAACAATTGGAAACAGTCATCGTATTTGAAAAAATGAGTTTTACCCTATTTTTCTTTTTCAAGTATTCAGCTAATATTTAACAGTTGGTATGTCAGATACTGTATTTGATACAATAATTCCTGTCCTTTAGGAACTTACAAACTAATGAGAGGGAAATGTAAGTATACAGATAATGATAATTATAAAACATGGCCTACACTGCAATAGAAGAATGAAGGGAGAATTAATAAAAGAGATAATCATTATCTCAAGACATATTAAGGTGGTGAACTGCCTGTGTTACAACAAGAGACTGAGGGGAAAGCTGTGTGCATGGTTTCTTCATTTCATTATTTTTTTATTTTATTATTTTACTTTATTTGATTTTATTTATTTATTAGAGCAAGTGAGCACAAGCAGGCAGAGGGGCAGAAGGAGAGGGAGAAACACTCACTACTGAGCAGGGAGTCAGATGCTGGGCTCCATCTCAGGACCCTGGAATTATGACCCGAGCCAGAGGCAGACGCTCAACCAACCTAGCCATCCAGATGCCCCTGGTTTCATAATTAAAAAAAAAAAAAATACTTAAAGTATTTATATCGGGTGTCACTATTTGAGTATTTATTAATTTAGTTAGGAGGTGGGTTGATGTTCTCTTTTGCTTAATGAACTTCTTTATACTGAAAACAGAATGATTTCATATGGGATTATTTATTTATTGCTTCTCTATCCCCCAGAAGTATTTTTTTTAAGATTCTATTGATTTATTTGAGACAGAAAGAGAGCACACAAGTGATGGGGGAGGAGTAGAGGGTGAGGGAGAAGCAGACTTCCCCCTGAGCCAGGAGCCCCATGGGGCTTGATCCCAGGACTCTAAGATCAGGACCTGAGCCGCAGACAGATACTCAACAGAGTGAGCCACTCCAAGCACGCCTCACCCAAAAGTATTTTTAAATTCACAGCTGAAAATCTGAAAGACTCAAAGCTGAAAGCACATTACAATGAGTAGCTGATTATTATCTTGCTTCATTAATTATTAACATCTAGGCACACCTACTTTCTGCACACAAATACACTTCCTTTTGCCAAACCATTTGAATGTAGGTGACAGATAAGAACTTTCCACTTCTAGGGACACCTGGGTGGGTTAGCAGTTGAGCAGCAGCGTTTGGCTCAGGGTGGGGTCCTGGAGTCCCGGATTGAGTCCCACTTGTGGGATCGAGTCCCACATCGGGCTTCCTGCATGGAGCTTGCTTCTCCCCTCCCCGCTGCCTATGTCTCTGCCTCTCGCTGTCTCTCATGAATAAATAAGTAAAATCTTTAAAAAAAAAAAAAAGAAAGAAAGAAAGAAAGAAAGAGAGAAAGAAAGAAAGAAAAAGAAAAAAAACATTCTACTTCTAAATTCTTTTTTTTCCCCCAGTTTATTGAGGTATAATTGACTAATAAAAATTGCATGTAATTTTTGATACATGTGTACATTGTAAAATGATTACCACAGTCAGGCTAATTAACATATCAGTCATCTCTTGTAGTTAATATCTTTTCATATGAGAACACTTAAGATCAATTCTGTTAGCAAATTTCAAGTGTATGATATAGTATTATTAACAGTAGTCACCATTCTATACGTTAGATCTGCAGAATTTATTCATCTGCATAATTAAAACTTGGTACCCTTGACTAGTATCTTTACATTTCCCCCATCCCTGGTAACCAGCATTTTACTCTCTGCTTTTATGAGTTAAACATTTTTTTTTTATATTCCACATATAAGTAAGATCATGCAGTGTGTGAGTCTGGCTTATTTCAGCCTCCAGTTTCAGCCACATCATCACAAATGACTGGATTTTCTTCATTTTCAAGGCTAAATAATATTACTTTATATACACAGAGCCACTTTTTTTTCTTTCTTAGAATATTTAATGAATTGGGAAAATATTCACAATTTTAGATAGCAAAAACAAGTTGAGCATTTGTGTATAAAATACAACATTTTACTCAAGTATAACTACATACAATGTTATATTAGTTTCAGGTGTCCAACATAGTGATTCAGCAATTCTATACATTACTCAGTGGTCACCATAATTACAGTCACCATCTGTCACTATATAACATTATTATAATATTATTGACTATATTTACTATACTGTTAATTTATATTTCACTGACTTATTTATTTTGTATCTGGAAGTTCGTACCTCTTAATCCACTTCACCTATTTCAGTCCCCCACTCCCACTTCCCCTTTGGCAACCACCATTTTTTTTTTTTCTGTTTTTGAGTGTTTTTTTTTTGTTTGCTTGTTTTTATTTTTTTGTTTTGTGTTTTAAATCCCACATATAAGTGAAATCATATGGTATGATCCTTTTAACATATTGTTGAGTTCAGTTTGCTAATATTTTGTTGGGGATTTTTACTTCTTTGTTCACCAGGGATATTCACCTATTGTTTGTTTTGTTTTGTGTGTCTTTGGCTTTCTTATCAGGATAATGCTGGCCTCATACAATAAATTTGAAGTTTCTTTTTCCATTCTGTTATTTGAAACAGTTTGAGAAGAATAGGTATTAATTCTTTATTAAATGGTAGAATTCAGCTCTGAAGCCATCTGGTCCTGGTCTTTTGAGGGAGGAGTCTTTTGATTACAAATTCAATATTGTTACTACCAACTGGCCTATTCAGATTTTCTTGTTTTTTTTTTTTTTTTTCATTCAATTCGGGGAAATTTTATGTTTCTAGGAATTTATCCATTTTTTTGCTAGGTTGTCCAGTTTGTCAGCATATAATCTTCATAGTATTATCTTATAATTCTTTGTATTTCTCTGCACACAACATTTTTTTTAGGCATTTATCCATTGATGGATAGGTTATTTCCATAACTTGGCTGTTGTAAATAATGCTGCAGAATGCACATATCTCTGAGATACTGATTTTATTTCCTTTGGATATATGCCTAGAAGTAGAGTTGTTGCATCATATAGTATCTTTATTTTTAACTTTTTTGAGCAGTCTCCATGCTGTTTTCCATAGGATCTGTACCAATTTATATTCTTGCCAGTAGTATACCAATGTTCCTTTTTCTCCACATCCTTGATAATTCTTATCATTTGTTGTGTTGATAATAGATATCCTTACAGGTGTGAGGTGTTTTGGCTTGCTGTTCTGTGATGATTAGTGATGTTGAGCACCTTTTCATATACTTGTTGGCCATTCATATGTCGTCTTTTGAGAAAAGTATTCATGTCTTTTGCTTATTTCTTAATTGGCTTATTTGTTTTTTGCTATTGAGTTGTATGAGTTCTTTGTATATTTTGGATATTAATACCATATCAGATGTAAGGCTTGCAAATATTTTCCTCCATTCTGCAGATTGTCTCTTCAGTCTGTTTATCACTTCCTGTGCTGTGCAGTACTTTTTACTGTGATGCAATCCCAGTTGTCTGTGTTTGCTTTTGTGGCTTATGCTTTTGGAATTATACCCAAAAAATCATTGCCAAGACCAGTGTCAGAAGGTTTTTCCCCTGTGTTTTCTTCTAGTAATTTTAGTTTCAGGTATGTTAAGTCTTTATTTTGAGTTGACTTTCGTGTTTGGTGTGTCATAGGGTCCAGTTTCATTCTGCCTATGATTATCCAGTTTTCCCAGTACTATTTATTGATCATACTGTCCTTTCCCCATTGTGTGTTCTTGGCATCTTTGTTGAAGATCAATTGGTTGTAAATTTATTTCTAAATTCTGTGTGGATTTTCTAGGCTCTCTATTCTGTTCCTCTGGTCCGTGTTTTTATGCCAGTACCATACTGTTTTGATTACTGTAGCTTTGTAACGTGTTTTGGAATTAGAAAATGTGATATTTTCAGTTGTGTTCTTGCTCAGGATTGCTTTGGCTGTTTGAAGTCTTCTGTGGTTCCACATGAATTTTAGGATTTTTAAAGAAATTTTTATGAAATATGCCATTGTAATTTTGACAGATACTGCAGTGAATCTGCCGTCCACTCCTAAATTCATGATCTCCATCTCCCAATAGCAAGTACATTTTGCTTTGCCAGCACAACATCATAATCATACCTGAGAAAATCAGTATTAATTCAGAAGTGTACACCGGCATATATTTCATCATTTATCTCCATTGTCTCTAAAAATCACTTTTATACTTAGTCATTTGTCTTGTCCCAAGATCTAGTCAAAACTTATATATTGCATTTGACCATTATGTCCTTTTAGTCTTCCACCAATCTAGGAGAGCTCTCTTTTAGTGACATTGAAGACTTCTTAGAGTCCAGGCCTGTCCTACGTATTCCCCTTCTTCATGATTAGATTCAGATAAAATTTCTAGTAAGAATTATCATTGGCGACACTGTGTACCTACCACTCCATTACATCAATAGATACCTAATATGCCACAATTGGTGATGCCAATACTGAATGTTTAGTTAAGGCAGTGACAGCCAGATTTCTCCTTGTAAAAGCACATTTTTCTCTTTATAATTCATAAGTGATATGTAGGAATGATTTTTTAAGGTGTAAGTATCCTGTTACCTACCATCCTTCATCTAGTAATTTTAGCATTCATTGATACTTCTTACCCAAATCAATTTAGCATTCATGGTTATAATATTGTGATTTTAAAAATAGTCTATTATTTTTATGTCACTGGTTAGATCAAACATTCTATCCAGATTCTTAAGGAATCATTGTTTGAATTTATTTATTTTTTGCCATTGCCAGGAGAAAAACTTTCAAAACAGCAGCTGCATAATTCTAACATTATTAAGAAATTAAGAGCTAAAGACAAAGAAAATGAAAATATTATTGCAAAGCTGAACAAAAGAGTTAAAGACCTAGAAGAAGAGTTGCAACATTTAAAACAGGTGAATGTTAACCATTCTCTAAATATATGTATCAATCGTTATTACTTCCTATATGAACAATTGGCTGTAGTTTGTAAAACATTTAGAATAATTTATTGAGGTGTACCATTTGGGAAGAATTTGTCAAACAATTTAATAAATGAGTGTTAAAGTTTTTCTTCATTATTGTAACACTTAAGATTCCTGGAATACAAATATTTACTATGGTATTGTTATTTAAGGTTTTATTTATTTATCTGACAGAGAATACAAGCAGGGGGAGCAAGAGTGGGAGAAGCAGATGCCCCACTGAGCTCCCGATGGGAGCCCCATGTGGGACTGGATCCCAGGACCCCGGGATCATGACCTGAACCAAAGGCAGATGCTTAACCTACTGAGTCACCCAGACACCCTTACTATAGTATTACTTATTGAAAAATATTTTGTCTGTTTTTACAATATAGGTTCTTGATGGCAAAGAAGAAGTTGAGAAACAGCATAGAGAAAACATTAAAAAACTAAATTCTGTGGTAGAACGCCAAGAGAAGGATCTTGGCCGACTTCAGGTAGACATGGATGAACTTGAAGAAAAGAACCGAAGTATTCAGGCTGCTCTGGATAGTGCATACAAGTAAGAAAATGAACAGATATGCAACCCATTTAAAATTAATTATCAGAATGGGATATTGAAGAAATACTTTTTCTGTTATTTAATCACTAACAATATTTATAAACTTGGCTATATATGAACTTGTAATTGGTCAAAGCAAGTACAAAAGAGTCCTTATTGTAGTTGGTATTTATTATGTGGTAAACTCTCCCTCATTGCATGAGTCTTATGGAAATCTACATGTAAACTTCACTAACTTGGCAGTGTAATTAACTATTTTAAATAGAAATTATCTAAATTTAAAATTTAGATAAAATTTAAAATAAATTTAAAATTATTTAAATTTTTTAAGAGAGCTTACTGATCTCCACAAAGCCAATGCTGCAAAGGATAGTGAAGCACAGGAAGCTGCTCTAAGTCGTGAAATGAAAGCTAAAGAAGAACTTTCTGCAGCACTAGAGAAGGCCCAAGAAGAAGCCCGTCAGCAGCAAGAAACATTAGCAATTCAAGTAAGCAACAGATAATGAGTTACATTAGTCTTTAAAAGAGTTGTGCTTTTGCAAATTAAAGAATACATTAGTTTGAATCAAAATATCAAGTGTTACTTGTGTTACATTTCTAATCTTATTGGACGCTTTTCTAGGTGTACTGGACTGTGCCAATCTTAATTGTGTGTTTTTTAAACTGTTAAAGTGATGCTTACATTGTACTGTATTTCTTATTTTTTGTGACTTTCAGACTTAAGAATATTATGAAAAGCAAAGACTGCGTTACTGAACATATGCAGATAAATATTAAACATTCCTTATAATTTTAGGAGAATCCATATAACTCCTGAGTTTATTCTTAACATCTGTGGGAGTCCATGTAGTTCAGATAGAGGAGGAAAACTGAAATTTGTCAGGCTTTTTCTTTTCTTTTCTTTTTTTTATTTTTTATTTTTTATTTTTAAAGATTTTATTTATTTATTCATGAGAGACAGAGAGAGAAGGGCAGAGACATAGGCAGAGGGAGAAGCAGGCTCCCCACAAGGAGCTCCCAGATCCCGGGATCATGCCCTGAGCTGAAGGCAGATGCTCAGCTGCTGAGCCACCCACGCATCCCCAGGCTTTTTCTTATAAAATGATCAGTTGTTAGATATTTGGATTAGTTTCACTTTTTGGTTATTATGGTTAATACTGCTATAAACATTCATTTACAAGTTTTTGTATGAACATTTATTTTAAATTCTTCTAGACATATACCTTCAGGTCAGTATAATAACCCTATATATAACTTTTTGAGGATCTGCCAGACTTTCCCATAGCAATTGCACCATTTTATGGAATATATGCAATTTATGCAATATATGATGGTCTACATCTGCCAGTATTTGTTATTGTCTTCTTTTTTTTTCATTATAGCCCTTTTAGTGGGTGTGAAATGGTATCTGATTGTGATGTGCTTGTTTACATTTTCTTAATGACTAACGATGTTAACCATCTTATGTGCTTATTGGCCATATGTATCTTTGTTTTATTTTGTTTTTTTAAAGATTTATTTATTTGAGGAGGGGGAGGGGCAGACGAGAAGGGGAGAAAGAATCTCCAACAGACTCCCTGATGAATGAGGAGCCCAATGTGAGGTTCAGTCCCACAACTCTAAGATAGTGACCTGAGCTGAAATCAAGAATCAGACACCTAATGGATTGAGCCACCCAGGCTCCCCTGGCCATTTATATCTTACTGCAACTTCTTTGGAGAAATTTATTTGATTACTCAAATCCTTTGCCCATTTTTAAATTGGGATTTTTTAAAATTGTTGAGTTGTTAGAATTCTTTATGTATTCAGCACATTAGATCCTTATCAGATGTAGTATTTGCAAATATTCTTTCCCATTTTATAGGTTGTCTTTCATTTTCTTAATGTCCTTTGATGTAGACCTTTAACAATTTTGATGAAGTCTGACTTACCTATTTTTTTCTTTTGTTGCCTCTACTTTGAGTGTCATATTGAAGACTCCATTGCTTAATCCAAGGTCATGCAGGTTTTCACCTGTTTCCTTTGAAGAATTTTATAGTCTTAACTCTCACATTTAGGTTTTTTACACATGGATATCCAGCTGTCCCAGTATCATTTGTTGAAAAGACTATTCTTCCCTCATTGACCCCAAAGCAGTTTTGATTTAATTTTATGCAAGTATGTAAAACATTTTTACATGATTCCAAAGTGACAGCTATATAAATATATTAAGACATTTGCTTCCAACTTAACTCCTCCCTATCCTCTTTCTTTGCCTATAAGTAACCATTTTACTAGTGTTTGGGTTATTTTTTTCAGTGTTTCTATTTGTAAGTACTAGAAAATGTAAATCTATACACTTACCTCCACACGTATGTGGAACCTCCTTATGCGTGTTCTCTCTCTCAAATAAAATCTTTATTTTTTTTAAAGATTTTATTTATTTATGCATGAGAGACATAGAGAGAGAGAGGCTGACACATAAGCAGAGGGAGAGCAGGCTCCATGCAAGGAGCCTGACATGGGACTCCATCCCAGTCTCCAGGATCCTGCCCTGGGCTGAAGGTGGCGCTAAACTGCTGAGCCACCAGGGCTGCCCTCAAATAAAATCTTTAAAGAGAAAAATCACCTTTATAAGTAATGTCAATTTTGGTTATTAATTTCTTGTCCTTATCTCTGATACGTATTTTTTTTATCATTGGTATCATATATATATATACATATATATAATAGTTTTTTGTTTAAGATTAAATTATAAATTTTTCCATATTCCTTACATTCACCATAATTTTTTAAAAAGATTTATTTATTTTATGAGAGAGTGTGCACGCACAAGTGAGGGGAGGGGCAGAGACAGAGGGAGAGGGAGAGAAGCAGACTCTCAACAGGGGGCTGATCTCAAGAGCCTGAGATCACGACCCAGAGCTGAAATCAGGAGTCAGATGCTCAACTGACTGCCAGGTGTCCCCATATTAATCATAGTTTTTAAAGATTTTTTAAAAAATTCATTTAGGAAAGACAGACAAGCAGAGGCATAGGCAGAGACACAGGCAGAGGGGAGAAGCAGGCTCCACGCCAGGAGCACGATGTGGGACTTGATCTCGGGTCTCCAGGATCACGCCCTGGGCCAAAGGCAGGCGCTAAACCACCGAGCCACCCCGGGATCCCCTCATAATTTTTAATGAGATTATTTATGTTCTTTCAAAATTCACAAAAATAGATTACTACTAATGGATATTTAGAATATTTCCTGTTTTGTCTGGTTTTGCTAGTCCAGCTAATAGTGTAGGGAGTATCTTTGTATGTTTAGATCTGCTTCTGTTAAGTAAATTCTTGAGACTAGTGAAAGAAGGTGAGAGTTCTATGATTGCTTTAACATGTTGCCATAATGTTTTACAAAAAGACTGTTGTAGTTTACATTTCCAGCTGTGTATGAGTATAGCAGTTAGCTTTTATAGCTATTTCATTCTGCCTTACATTGCAGACATTAATAGATGCATTGTCTCTCCTATATTGTATGGCAGTGGCTGTGCCTATTATGCCTTTTTTTTTTTTTTTTGTCTAACAATGCTTTTCTAAGTATATATTTATTAAGTATTTATTAAGTATATATTTATTAAGTATTTATTAAGTATACAGACGTTTAGTTTAGAATTACTTGGTAAATGGTATGTGTGATAATCATGTAAAAGCTCATTGGATAGTGTAAATATACATAAACAGTAATACATAAACCTATTGTGTTGACAACACAGTATGTAGTTAGGAAACTATAATTAGTGTTTTGATACTGTTTGTGATAGTGTATTGGTTCTCCTCATATAGGTTGGAGACCTTAGGTTGGCACTGCAACGTGCAGAACAGGCGGCTGCCAGAAAAGAGGATTATTTACGCCATGAGATTAGTGAACTCCAGCAGGTACTGTCACAGTTTTCCTAAACACAAATCCAAGATGTGTTTTCCTAGAAATAAAAAAAAGGATTCAGTGGGGATAATGTTCATGGAATTGAGATTACTACCATACTTTATCATTTGCTGTATTTTTGTGGCTTATATGAATAAAACAGGAGTGGACACCCTAAAAAATAAACACAAAAAGCCCTAATTTTGTTTTATAGAAAATAATTTTATACTGATAGATTTGTTTTGTGTTAGTATTGTTTTTTTCATTTGTTATAGCTAGTTTATTATTATCAGTCTTTGATTACTGTGGGGCAGATAATCAGTGTCAGTTTTTTTTTTTAAAGATTTTATTTATTTATTTGAGAGAGAGACAATGAGAGAGGGCATGAGCAGAGGGAGCGGCAGAGGGAGAGAGAGAATCAGACTCCCTGCTTAGCAGGGAGCCTGATGTGGAACTTAATCCCAGGACCCTGAGATCATAACCTGAACCAAAGGCAGATGCTTAACCAACTGAGCCACCTCAGTGCCCTCGGTGCCAGTTTTTCCACTATTCTGTTAATTTTCAGTCAGTGAACATGCACGGGAAAAGGAAACAAAGTGCAACTCTGATTGATCTTTCTGTTTTTTTAAATACTTAGAAATATTTGGATGATGAGGCAACTGCTGGGAGGTTTGGATGATGGTCTTTTTTTACCTGAAGATAATCAAAACTTCTTCTTGTTAGAAAAGAAGCACTCCCTTAGATACTGTTATGCATCCTAGCTCTAACTTACAGATTGAATAATTAGAAAATAGTGTAACTACAAAACAATTTTATCTTGGGAAAATAATATTTTCCAGAATTCTTTCATAAAGTTTATTTGCTAGTGTTTTTAGAGTTTTCATTGTTATTGGTGGTAATGATTTAAGAATTTCATGATTTAGAGACTCCAGGAAGCAGAAAATCGAAACCAAGAGCTGAGTCAAAGTGTTTCATCAACGACAAGACCATTGCTTCGACAGATAGAAAACTTGCAAGCAACTCTAGGGTCCCAAACATCATCGTGGGAGAAGTTAGAGAAGAATCTTTCTGATAGGCTTGGTAACTGCTTTAGTTCTTATGTTCAATGTAGAAGCCCTTTCCTTTTATTTATAAAAGTAGAATGGTATGAAATTGAAATTCATTTGATCTGATAGTTACACTTTATGTCTAACTTGTAGAGTTTTACGTCTTCTCCGTTCTTGCTTTTATTTTCTAATATTCTAGTTGACTTTTTCAGACCATTTGTTTTCCCTTACACAGTGTGTCAAATATTATCCAAATACTTCCATGTCATCTTATCATTTTTACAGACAACTGTTCTCATTTTTTTCCTTGTCTGTTGCTACATCTGACCTCTTTGTAGCTTGTCTGTAATAATGTAGGAGGTAGAGATCAGATATGGTTCTGGTCCTTGGTGGAATTCCAGGAGCAGAGATAGGTCTCAGGAGGATCCCAGTCAAACTTTACTAGACAGATTCTGTGGAGTCTTGAGAGTCTTTTGTATAGAAATGTCCCAGGTTGCCCTTCTGTGCTGCTGTTAAGAAAATAATTATTCTAAGATGTTTATGCAAGTACAGATAAGTTGTGTGTGTGTGTGTATCCCAGAAGCTGACTAATTGATGAAAATTTCATGTGCCCTTTCTATGCCTAAAACTAACTGTAGTTTGGGAGATGCCATGGTACGGTGATAAAAGCAGGCCTGAAAGGGTATCCTTGTAAATCATGAGGAGTTAAACTAGAATGAGTGGTTTTCAAACAATATTCGGTGGAATAGATGTCTTAGGACTAGCTGTCATGGTGAGAGGGCAGCTGTATAATTAAGGTGCTTGATATAGCCCTTTAGGCTGCTTTAATGAAAGTAGTGCCTCCTTTTCGATCTTTTTTTTTTTTTTTTACTTCCATGTGAGATTATGTCTAGAAAAAAATTCATCTACTTAAAAAAAATCACTAAACTAGATGAAATGTCATGTATTGTTTAATTTATAGATACATGTTTTGGGTCTATCATTTGTTACTGAGACCCATTTGCTACGAACATGAGACATCTGAAAATGACACCTGAAATGAATTTTCTTTTAGCAATAAATGAAAACCAGAAGCTGGTTTTTTCTTTTAGCAGTAATGAAAACCAGAAGCTGTTTTTTTTTTATTTGTTTGGGTTTTTTTTTTGTTTTTTGTTTTTAAACTGGGCTCTACATCCCCTCAGTGATATGTGGTATTGTGCTGGAATATAGGCAAAACCATGGGACACACATACCAAATATTGCTTTTAATAGGAGCACAAATACAGTATGTAACAATATAAAGTGAAAAATAGAGATAATGTTAGGTCTACTTTGGTAGAGAAAAAATAGAATTAGTGATTAAATCTCAGACAACTCTAATCTTTTCTTAACTGAAATTTTTTATTGAGATAATTGTAGATTCACATGCAGTTTTAAAAAATAATACAGGTGGTCCCTTGCATGCTTTATCTAATATCCCCAAATGTTAACACTGCAAAATTATAGTATAATATCCCAACAGGATATTGACGGTGATGTACTAATTTTATTCAGATTTCTTCAGAGTTCTACTGATACTCATTTATATATGTGTGTGTCTGTATTAAGTTGGGCATGGTTTTATTATATGTGTAGGTTCATGTACCCATCTCTACATTCAAGATTTTGAACAGTTCCGATAAGTTGTCCTTTTAGAACCTCATTTTACCATTCTAGTGGCCCTCCTTTTGTGTCCCAAATCTTGGCAATCGCAATCTGTCCCCCATCTAAAATTATGGAATTTCAAAATGTTATATAAATAGAATTATATACTATGTGACAATTTGGGATTGGCTTTTTTCCTTCACAACATAATTCCCTGGAGGTTCATCTAAATTACTGTGTATATCAGTGATTTAGTCCTTTCATTGCAGAGTGTTTCTGTGTTATGAGCATACCACATTTTCTTTAACCATCTACCTGATGAATGATATCTGGGCTCATTCCAGATCTTTTTCTGTACAGATAAAGCTGTGAGCATTCTTGTACATGTTTTAGTGTAGACATGTTTTTATTTCTCTGGCTAAATGCCTTAAGTGTGCAGTTGCTGGGTTGTCTGGGTAGTTGTATGTTTAGTTTTTTAGGAAAACACCAAACTGTTTTTCCAAAGTGGCTATATGTATGACAGTAATCTAATTTCTCCACATCCTTGTCAGAATTTTGTGTTGTCCCTATTTTTTCTTCTAGTCATCCAGATATCATTTAATGATATCTTACTGTGATTTTCATTTGAATTTCCCTAATGATGCATATCATTTCATGTGCTTATTTTCCATTTGTATATCCTCTTCAGTGAAATTACCTTTCCATGTCTTTTTTTTTTTTTTTTTTTTTAAGATTTTATTTATTTATTTGAGAGGGAGAGAGAGCATGAGCAGGGAGGAGGGGCCGAGGGAGAGGGAGCAGCAGGCTCCCCACTGAGCAGGGAGGCCCAAGCAGGGCTGGATTCCAGGACCCGGGGATCATGACCTGAGCCGAAGGCAGACACTTAACCAGCTGAACAACCCAGGCACCACACCTTTTCATGTCTTTTGCCCATTTTCTAATTGGATTCTATTTTCACTGGTAAGTTTTGAGACTTCTTTATATATTCTAGACACCAAGTAATGTGGTTTGCATTTTTTTCCTCCCAAGTCTGTTGCTTGTCTTTTTATCCTGTTCACAAAAGCAAAAGTTTAAAATTTTGAAGAAGTCCAGTTTATCAGTTTTTCTTTTTATGGTTCTGCTGTTGGTGTCAAACCTAAGTACTCTTTGCCTGTCTAGGGACAGTGTTTGCTCACCTCGCCTCTTCTGGCTTCCACTAGAGAATGGTTGGGGATAGTAGTCACCTAATGAGATATCTAGGGACAGGCAAAGAGTGAAAGTTTTAGAAAACTTTTTTCTAAAAGTTTTGAGGGTTTTTTTGCTCTTAAATTTTTGATCCATTTTGAATTAATTTTCATATAATATAAGTTTAGTTTGATGGGTTTTAGGTTTGGTTTTTTCTTTTTTCTTTTTCTTTTTTTTTTTTTATTTGCATTTGGATATCCAGTTGTTCCACTTTCAATATGTGCCTCCACTTTCAAATTAAAATATTTTAGGAAGAAAATAGGGGATCCCCGGGTGACTCAGCGGTTTAGCGCCTGCCTTTGGCCCAGGGCGCGATCCTGGAGTCCCGGGATCGAGTCCCGCATTGGGCTCCTGGCGTGGAGCCTGCTTCTCCCTCCTCCTGTGTCTCTGCCTCTCTCTCTCTCTCTCTCTCTCTCTCTCTCTCTCTATGTCTATCATAAATAAATAAATAAATAAATCTTTAAAAAAATATATTTTAGGAAGAAAAAAATAAGGCAGATAAAAGTTAAGATTTGTTCTTTTGTCTATATAAGCAGTTCTGCCTCAGTCAATAAGTTCTTACAGATTTCAGTGAGGCTATTTGAATTATTAACTGTTTGAAGTAAAAATTTATTTGATATTTTGGCCTTTTGGGCATAAGTATATTTGATTTTTCTTTTTTATCCTACAATCAGGTGAATCCCAGACTTTGTTGGCAGCAGCAGTTGAAAGAGAACGTGCAGCTACAGAAGAACTCCTTGCCAACAAAATTCAAATGTCCTCCATGGAGTCACAGAATTCTCTCTTAAGACAGGAAAACAGTAGATTTCAGGCCCAGTTAGAATCAGAGAAAAATAAGCTAAGAAAACTTGAGGATGAAAATAATAGGTGAGCATGTCTTGAGTGTTATTCTTCGTGGTTTTGTGACATCTTAAAGCACTTAAAAAAAAGAAGTTGTAGTGTTTAAACTCCGAGTCATTAGTAATAGAATATTATAGCAGAATGGTTTGGGATTCATTGAACTTGAGACAGGCTTGTGAAATTGTGTGGCATGTTCTGCATGTATTTGCATTTTCCAGGGAAAGGATTCATTACTTTAATCAGGTTTTTTTTAAAGGAATCTGTAACTATAAAATAGTTTGGAGACCACTCATTGGAGTTATTTTTTATATTTTACAATGGTCTTAGCAGTGTTCCAGTCTTTCTAAATAAATGTCTGGGTTCTTTGGAACTGCAAGCTATAAAGTCCATCTATCTGAAAGTGTATTAAGGCTGTGATTAGTGTGGTTTTACTCCCTGAGTTTTTCTTTAGAAATTTTAGTTAAAAAAAAAAAAAAGGTCAAGAAAAATGATACCTGAACTTCTGCAAATATTTTCATAGAACTCCCTAACAAGCTTTTGCAGAATCTGAACCTATTAGAGAATGGTGGTATTCAAAATTCTTTTTAGAAAATCTCTTTTTAAATGAAATCCTAGCTTAGAGCAGCAATATGATATAATACACAAAAGTAGTAGCTTGGCTTCTGAGTGTAAAACCCCTGTCATCTAGAAAGTATATTTGGAAAATCAAGCTGATAGTTGAAATGACTATTAAAGAGTTAATAAAGTGGTGAGTTTTCAGTAGTGTGTACTATCATCTTTGTTTTGTTTAATTCTTTCTGGCTTAATAGGTACCAGGTTGAATTAGAAAACCTGAAAGATGAATATGTAAGAACACTTGAAGAGACAAAGAAAGAAAAGGTATTTAACAGTGTTTGCTCACCTCTCCTCTTCGGGCTTCCACTAGAGAACAGTTGGGGATGGTAGCCACCTAATGAGATGCCAGAGTGGAGTGGGCACTGTGACTTCTTTCTGAACTTGGTCTTTAGTAGTAAAAGAAATAGGAATATATACTTTATGTTCCTGACTTTGGAATGGACTTAGAAGGATGATTTAGTATCACAGAAATTATCTAACTGTACCTTTCTCCACTAGACACTACTGAATAGTCAGTTAGAAATGGAGAAATTGAAAGTTGAACAGGAAAGGAAGAAAGCAGTTTTCACCCAAGAAGCAATAAAAGAAAAGGTACTGAATTTGGGGTTTTGTTTTGTTTTTGGTGTAACCAGTTCATAGCTGTTCTGATTAACCATTGTTACATAATTCTAGGTATACCTTATAAATACCATTTCTTCTGCTTAAAATCAATAGAGTGATGAATTATAGTATTGTAATCAGTATCCTGTCAGAGTGGGTCCAAAGTAATTTGAGTTTATCCAAAGAAATCTGTGATTCTAAGGCTTGAATTATAGAATCTGTTGGGGCCATTTTTAAATGAATTTTGTGGTCTCTCACTGAAACTAATGCACTTCATTTGGCCTCTAGGCACCTTGGGAATAAAACTGGTATGTTCGCTTTATTTCTGGTTAAGGAAGGTAATTTTTCTAAAGTGAGTTTCCTGTATGTGAAGGATTGGATTATACTTGGTAGCATGATTTGTTAAAACTGCCTGTTTGTACATGGAAATTACCTTTTGAATTTGTTTGGAATTTTAAAAATATATATTAAAAATAAAATGGATAAGCCAGAAACTTGATGGTTTGTAAAACTTACTAGTAATCTTATTCTGAAGAATTAGGTTTAATTGGTAATAGGTTATTTAATATATAATAATATGTAGACATTAGTTCATGTATTTGTTAGAACAAAAACATTCTCATTCCATTAAAAATAAATTATTGTAATATAAATGAGTCCTGAGATGATTTGACCACATCTGTCTACAATTTTAAATAACTCTTGTGCCTTTAATAAGACTTCAGAAATTCTATCTGTAACATTTTTTATGAGGAAATGAGAATGAATCTTTGTTGTCATTTATCCTAGAAAAGTTTCTTGCTTTTTATTTACCATTTTAGTCTTTAATGTGACCTGAATGTTTTTGTTTTTGTTTTTGTTTTTGTTTTTGTTTTACTCCTTAAGGAACGGAAGCCATTTTCTGTTTCTAGCACTCCTACCATGTCACGTTCGAGTTCAATAAGTGGAGTTGATATGGCAGGGCTACAAACATCTTTTCTGTCTCAGGTGATATTTTATTTCTTATATGTACCTAGTTGTTAAACTGAACGATAATAAAGGAAATAAGCAGGTTGCATTTTGTCTATCAACTATCACCTTGCCATTCCATAGGCAATTGATACGAATATTCATGAAAGAGTGCTAATTGCACTGAAGAAATAAGAGATGATTTCGTGCCTTTGAGAAAGTTACAGACATTTTAAAGCAAGAATTAGCAGAACCATTTGTTTGAACCTTATTGTGGAACTCAGCTTGTAACTGTATAACTGTATACGGTTTAATATAGGATGAACCTCATGATCACTCATTTGGACCAATGTCTGTATCAACAAATGGAAATCTTTACGATGCTGTGAGAATGGGAGCGGGATCCAGCATTATTGAAAATCTACAGTCTCAGCTAAAGCTAAGGGAAGGAGAAATTACTCATTTACAGGTATTGGAAAAATTAAATGTGCAACAGAAGTAAATAAAATTTTGGGGCCTAATAAGTAGCACCCTTCATCTCCACCTCAATTCTGAGCAAATTGAAAAATAAAGTGAAATAGTGGCATGTGAAGTTTAAAATGTATCACATATATTAATGATGTAGGTGATATATATATATATACATATATAATGATATATATGATTTTTATGATAAGACTGGTTTGAGAAATTGGCCAGATGAGAGCCAAATGAGTCTGCTCATGGGCTCTGACTGTCAGAATTAGCGCGACTTACCCACCCTGTCATAGAAAATGCAGAGCTGGAGTAGGCCTCCCCATGTGTTATAGGCTGCCATCTAAGACTTGTAAGCATCTAAGAGCAGAGAACTCCTGGCAGGCACCTTTCCTAAACATTAAAAAAAAAAAAAAAAAAGAGTTTGCTGATCTGAACATAGTCATTTTATTTTTCTCAAGAGTTGCCACTTAGGTCACTCCCCCTTGTGAGGAAGGAGTGAAAGAGAGGAGAGAGATTAGAACTAGAATATCCTGTATATGAAAGAAACCATCTTGAATAGGGAGGCGGCACCCTCCCATCTTACTTTACTTTTTAAAAACTTTTAATGTGAGAGATGTTAAAACACTTTACCTATTTTCATTGTTTAACTTGAAACAGAAGTGTAAATCTTTCTTTTTATTCTCATTATATTATTATAGTTGGTTGGAAATACTACTCTATTAAAGACCAAGTCTTTGAATTGGAAAATAAACAAGATCAGAATAAACTTCATATGAGTTATGTTTGTGTAGCCCAGAGTGCTGTGCTTGAGGGTCCAGATTAAACTTCATTGGTAGTGATGATAGATTCCATCAATGTGACCTGCACAGCTGGGGCTGCATTAAAGGATAATTTTATTTTTCTGAGTTTCTGTACTAATTTAGAATGACTGAAATATATGCTGTTTCTCTAGAGAAAAATAATAGGGCTCCGTACTTCAAACAGATGATTGGATTTTCTTTAGTTCTTTTTCTTTCATAGTAAGCCCTGGTAACCTCTGAGGAGAGCAGAAACCCTTGTTTTTGCCACCATTTCCTTAAAGAGTTAGCTCATGGCTATATGTTGACATACTATTTTATCAAAAATAACATTGAATATATTTATATTAGTATAAATATTAATAACCAAGATATATTTTGATTTAAATTACTTCCCTGTAATGTTTCTCAGCTAGAAATTGGCAACCTAGAAAAAACACGTGCAATAATGGCTGAAGAGCTAGTTAAATTAACAAATCAAAATGATGAACTTGAAGAGAAAGTGAAGGAGATACCCAAACTTCGAACTCAGCTAAGAGTAAGTACTCTTCTCTTCATTTAAGGATGAGTCCAAGGGAATCCCTAGGTGGCTCAGTTGGTTAGGTGTCTGACACTTGATTTTGGCTCAGGTCATAATCTCAGGGTATGGGCTTGAGCCCCACATTGGGTTCTGCACCCTGCAGGGCATCTTTTTCAGGATTTTCTCTCTCTCCCTGCTTGCTTGCATGTACACGCTCTGCTTCTTTCTGTAAAATGAATAAATCCTTAAAAAAAAAAAAAGGAATGAATCCAAGATATTTTTATCCAGTTACATTAGATTTGATATTGTTATTTTACATAAAATATGTAAGTTTTAATGATTTCTTTGAAAATGGTATTAAATAGTTCAGTTAGGAAGTTTTAAGAATCTTCTTGCCTGTCACATTACATGAAGTATTTTTCATAATCATGTGTAGTCCCAATATAGGAAAATAATTAGGGATGCCTGGGTGGCACAGCGGTTGAGCACCTGCCCCTGGCTCAGGGCATGATCCTGTGGTCTCGGGGTCGAGTCCCACATCCGGCTCCTTGCCTGGAGCCTGCTTCTCCCTCTGCCTCTGTCTCTGCCTTTCTCCCTGTGTGTCTTTCATGAATGAATGGATAAAATCTTTAAAAAAAAAAGAGGGACACCTGGGCGAGTGGTTAAAGCATCCGCCTTTGGCTCAGGTTGTGATCTTGGAGTCCCAGGATCAAGTCCCATCAGGCTCCTTGCATGGAGCCTGCTTCTCCCTCTGCCTATGTCTCTGCCTCTCTGTGTGTGTGTGTCTCATGAATAAATAAATAAAATCTTTAAAAATAAATAAATAAAAAATAAAAATAAAGGAAAATAATTAGATTTTATTTGACCAGGGCTCATTTATAATACTACTCTTTTACATAATCTTATGAGTATTTTGTTCATTGATATTATTATGTATCATCACAATTTACGTATTTGGTATTAGGAGTCACTGTTAAGCCATATATGAAAATATATTTTCTTTTATCTTTTTTTGGTGGGCTAAATGACAGATAATACTTGAAGTGCAATGAACCCAAGAGAGTAAAATTTGATCACATGTGTTTAAATTAATGGGAGAAAAGACAGATTAAGCTTTAGATGGGGAGAATTGTAGAGTAGAGGAGAGATATGATAAAATTGGTAGCCATCTGGCTTGGGTTTTTTGTTTTTGTTCTGTTTTTTTAATTCCTCAACTTGCTATTTATTCCAGCAGATTGGAATAGCAGTTTAATTTTCAGAAGAGATGACTAGGTACTTTTCTTTAGATTGTAATATGTTTACTGGTGACTCATTTGTAATATAAATGTATATTAAAGATGTTTTGTAGAGTTATTTTAAAAATTATGAACACATTTTTTTGTAGGATTTGGATCAAAGATACAACACTATTCTGCAGATGTATGGAGAGAAAGCAGAAGAGGCAGAAGAACTTCGATTAGATCTTGAAGATGTAAAAAATATGTATAAGACTCAAATAGATGAACTTTTAAGACAAAGACTCAGTTAACTTCTGAAAACTACATTCCCATCAAACTGAATGTAAACATTTAATATCTAAGTGTAGACTCCCAATAAATTCTTTTATAGAATTAGAAAGTGGAATTTACTGTAGAGTTCAAAAACTGAAAAAAATTGTTTTATAGTATATAGTAATATTTGCAGTTAAATTATTTTGTGCAATATTTGAACTTTATTTTTGAAACTATTCTTTAAAGATTTATTTTTTAAAGCATCTTTTTTTTTTTTTTTGTCTTGAACAGCACAGAGATTACTTTTCCTCATATCAGTATGGTAGGGAAGGAGAGTGGTGTTCATATGTTTCATTGTAAATATATAATTAATTGTATCTGTAATTTATATGTGTTTGTATATATTAAGGACATTTAAAGAGTGATATTAACATATTGAAACTTTGAAATCTTTCACATTTCAACATATCTAATTATTACTTCATGAAAATGAACATTAAATGTTCTAGTAAAAAAAATTATTAAACCCACAGTTACTAAATTTTGAACTAATGTTTTTTTCTTTTAAAGTAGAAATCACACTGACACTCTCTGAAGCTTAAAGGGGAATGATTTAAACTTTAAAATTTTTGTGGTCTGAGAATTTATTTCACCCACATTCTACAATAAAGTATACAAATTTTGGTACCTCTCTGGTGAAAGCTGTAGCTATTCAGTTAGTTATATAGGCATGATCAGATAGTGGAAAAATTGTACTTAAAATGATTTTGTGATGATATCAGTGACATTTAAGTGCTTTTAAAGAGGTATTGTTTTACTAACCTTGTAAGATGAATCAAAAGTGATAAAGTAATAACAAGATTTTCTCTTAAAAATTAATTGTTCACATTTTGTAAAGCCTTATTTTTTGGCACATTAAAAAAAAGTTTGATATTACAGAATATTCATAACAATATACAGAAACTATAGGAGTTAAATTTGGCATTTTGCAATTCTGTATAATTTATCATTTTATTTTTTCTCAAAACTTTACACTCAAAAATAGTGTGGAATAGCTTTAAAAAATAGCTATGCTTTCTTCCAAGTGCTTCCAAATGTTATTTTGTTTAAAAAAAGTTAACCAGGCCCTGTTTTAGATTTGTGAAATATTTTGATACATTTTATTACTGAAAGTCATTTAGTTGCCTTTACTTGCAAATAACTCTCATTTAATTTTTAGTTGAATTTTAAACAGTAGAACTTTGGGTTATAGCTATAAGCAAGCCATGTTGAAGAATTTGGAATGCTTTTCAGGGCAATTCAAGTGACCTCATTTTTGTTCTTTTTGTATTCCAGGCAGTATTTCTGTCATTGGATCTCTGATTTGTAGCACTAATAAATATTCTTTCAGTGTGAACCAAATTCATAAAATTAATTTTCTATATTTTAGTGGTAAAAAGCAGTGTAATAACTTTTTGTCAGCTTGGACTTTTTTGAGGGGGGGATTTTTTTTTTTTTTAATATTCACTGGGCTGACAAGGAATGACAAGACGGATAGCAATAAGAAATGTACAGAATTAGGAAATATAGAAAACTGAAGTTGCAAAATTGTCAAGCGTTTGAAACTAGAAGTTTAGGAATTAGGAAATTATTATTTTAAAATATCCATTAGAAAATAAAACCTTCAGTTGTGGAAAAAAGATGGAAATAAAACTCCTATATTTTACAATTTCATAATATTAGACATTTTCTTTTCTTAATTCTTATTAACATTAATAAAATCAGTTCAACTTAAAATTTTAAAAGTGTTTTCAATTTATTTAACTTAAAAATGGTAAAGAGTTATTTAGGACTCTGGCTATATATTATTACCATATGTTCATTATCCAAAAATTAATAATGGATAGTCACACAGATTTTATTATACACTTAGATCTCTCGGTACATTTATAAGTTGAGAAGGTGTAGTGAGTATCTTGAAAACTCCACTAAGAGGCGGAATACCTAGTGACATACTGGTTGCTGTATTTTGCTGTTGGTCATTAAAACTTCTCTATCCATATTCTAGTAAAACAATTTTTATATTTTAATGGTTAAGAGAATAGTTTGCAATTATATTTCTCTTGAAAATAGATCTTAAAAATCAGAACTTCAAAAATATAAGGTTAGACGTGTGAGCATTGTTGATATGTAGACAACTGAGCAGTTACCAGGTATTTTTCCAGCTCTTGGGAAGCTTGATTGAGACTACCGACTTCTTTTTTTTTTTCCATTAACTCTGTTGAGAAGTTTCAATTGTACACTATTTAGCATATGGGAATGTATTGAACATATCTATATCGTGATTTAAGATATTCTAAATATGGACCATTTCTGACTTAGGGAAACATGAGTTTTTGTAGTTAAGTGAAAATTTTTTTCTCATGATTCTTCAATTGGCATTTGATTTCTGAATTGAACATTTTATTTAGATGGTTATTAAAAGTATGCAATTTGTAGTATTTAGAAAAAAGCCACAAGACAAAAGAGAAAATGACTAGATATTTTTTCTTGTTTTACTATTTGGTATGTATATATTTTTTTCTTCTAGTATATCATAATTTTTAAATTTTTCTTTAAAATTCTAATCTCCGTATTCTTTTCAGTTTTACAGTATAACTTCATATTTTGTAAAGGGCTAAAATTATGATTTCAACTACAGATTGATATAATATTTTAATTCTAAATGAAAGGTAATGTAAAGCATGGATCTGATTTGAATAAAGATTAAAATCTTTATAATAGTATTAATGTATTTCATTGTTACCATAATTTAGACTGCCCAGTACCAATGAATGAAGGTGGTATTGTTTTATGAAGGTAATAGGACTTGTATAACTTCAGAATTCATATTTTAAAATGAGGATAAGTCCAAATTTTCTATGAGTTATATTATGAAGAATATTGTCAGCATTAAGCATAGTTTTTCTAATGAAGTTTTTGGAAAACAATCCTGAGAATTTACCGCAATTAAATTATTGTAAGGATGATTTGTGTCTTTTTTTAAAATCTTAAACAGTGTTCAGAATACTCTTCTAAAAGTTTTACAACAGTTCTGTATTCAAATAATAACAATAGATAAGTTGTCCTTTATTCATAAGTTATTCTGAGTTCATATTGCTTGTAATATTGAACTCTTACAACTTTGATCCTTAGAAGTACTTGTAAGGGCAGCCCAGGTGGCTCAGCGGTTTAGCGCCACCTTCAGCCCAGCCCCTGAATCTGTGATCCTGGAGACCCAGGATCGAGTCCCACATCAGGCTCCCTGCATGGGGCCTGCTTCTCCCTCTGCCTGTGTGTCTCTGCCTCCCCCCCCCCCCCCCGTGTGTGTCTCTCATGAATAAATAAATAAAATCTTAACCCTTATTTAAAAAAATAAAAAAAATACTTGTAAGCTTTGCCTTTACACATATCCATTTTACCTTTAGCAAATCCAGATCCTTTAATAAGATAGAATGGAAATAGTTTCTTTTTTCTTTATAAATACTTCTCAAAACAAAAACTACAAAATACAATGGTGGGTACAGAGAATTTGCTTTTAGAGCTGTCCAGAATTTATTCTCCATTTTCCCCTGCTGCTAAGTAAGGTAAATTCAATTTTAGAATCTTCAAATAATACTAAGGAAGAGGTAATAAGAGCTCTTGCTGTTTATGTAACATTAAACTCTCTTGTTGCTTTTAGAGGTAGTGATGGACACATAGAGGTGTTCCTTTCAGTTTTATACAATGCCACGCCCATTTGTCTCTTGAAATTAAAATCTTAATTTTTAAAAATACATATTGTTAAAAAATCTGTGGTTATGCTGATTATAGGAAACAGTACTTTGTTACTGTGGAAATAATTCACTTAAACAGGATCATAATCCCTTATCCACTGTTCTGAAGTCTAAAAAAGCTCTGAAAACTGTTAAGTGTTTTTGTAAGTTTGCTGTCAAACTTGCTTTGGTGGTAAAGCTTAACCTTTCCTGATGTGGGGTTACTTAGAGGGTTTACCTCACGGTGAGTGAAATGAAGTGCATACATTTTGCTGCAGAAATATTGTATGGGATAATGGGGTGTTGACCCAGGGCACACTGAGTGTGTTAAGTTGTAAACTGCGCACACTCTCTTCTACACAAAAAAATTCAGGGACACATAGGGCCCCAAGGATTTTGGAAAAGAGATTGTATACCTGTACTTTACCTTCAAATCAGCTTTTTAAAGTCGATACTATTCTCATCTCCATTTTTAAAATGAAGAAGGTTTAGTTGCTTAAGGTCATATGGCAAGTAAGTGGCAAAGATGAGGTTCTAATTTGTGCAGTTTGGCTCCAGAGAATGTGCTCTGACCCATTAACTGCAGTGCTGCTTCTCTTATTACTTTCCTGTGAAACCATAAATGTATAGATCAACTAGCGTAAGGTCAACTTTTGTCAAAATCTATTTGCTTAAAACTTCAGAAGTGTTGAATTACATTTTAAGCAATTGGATATATCAGATAACCAATAAGCTATATTCTGATTGTTCAGCATTTTGCTGACACTGTGAGCTATCCAAATGTCAATATATGTGCAGCAAGCTTAAAACACATTTAATAAGATTGTAATGCACTGTAAAAATTATGATTATATAAAATTTTAAACTTGTACAAAGAGAACAGATTATGAATCCCCATACTCTCATTAACCTATACTCTTTAACTGTGTTCAACAGTTCATGGCCCACTTTGTTTCATTTATAGTTCACTTGTGCTTCATCTCAATCCACATTATTTTGAAGCAAATTTCAGACATAAGACTTCATTATCAAATTTAAGTATGGAATATTTTTGTAAAAAGCACCTCATCAACTATTTAGTTACTTGCATCATGATTCATATAGGAAAAATGGGATAAAATATGCTTCAGTCGTTTGCATTTACCGTTTTCATGTTTTTGGTTTTGTTTTACTAGTTTTCACATTAGGAGTTGGTTCCCTTTTGCCATCAGACATGAACAATGAGGTTTTGGTCTGTGTATTTGGTTGATTGGTCAGACCTCTTTGAATATAAGATTTAACTATATGTGTACTTCAATCTATTACAGTTACCCTTTACTGATGCTTTAAATTATCCTATCTTTGGCCAGAAGGTGGCTTTTCAGACTGGTTCCTGAGTCCTTTTGATAAGGCCCTCATTATCTTTGATTGCCTCCCTGCCTCCTCATGTAAGGTTTTTAAGCTGCTGCTTGTACATCATCTAAGATGATGTACATATCTAAGATCCATTTTTCTATGGAACTCATGTTCCTTTTAGTGGGAAACGTTTGCAGATCATAGTCTGGGTACAACAGGTGCTTCTTGCTACAGGGTTGGTTGTTTTGTAGGTCTTTTCAATGGATGATGGAGGATAGCTCTGTTCTTAATGATAAAATGTTAATTTATATTACCTCCAAATTCATAAGTAGTATTTTTATGAGGCTAGGCTTATATCTACACCACATGCCAAAAAATTCAGCTTCAAAGATACCATCTTCATTACTCCTATTTGGTGTATCCAAATCAGTATTCCCACTAACAGTTTGGTTCCTGGGAACAGTTTGTGATTTTTTAAATTCTTTTAGTCCTGAGGGTACATCCACCAGACGTGCTAATTGTGTTTCAAAATCACTTGGGATAGGTCCTTTGTTGTAGTATATGCCACAGCTGGATAGCATGTAAATTGTTTCATTTTACTTTCAATTTTTAAGGATTACTTGTTAAAAATTTTGTTTTATACTGTATTTACATGTTTCTAAAGCTACTTCTATATAGTGTACATCCAGAGAAGTTTTTTGCCCCAATATACATATTCCCTTCTTCCCCCATAGGTAATCATTTTAAATAATCTATTTGTAAAATAACACATATATATATATGTCCCCTTTCCTACATAAGTAATAGCATATTACACATCCTTTCCCCACTCAACAATACACCCTGAAGTGTACAAAGATTTCTCAGTTCTTTTTTTACACCTGCATAGTTCTTCGTTGTGTGGATATACCAAAGTTTACTCAATCAGCCTCCTATTAATGGACATTTTAGTTTATTTTAATGTCAGTTTGAAGAAAGTTTTAAATTTTAACATTGGTATCTTGAGTGGAAATCCTGTGTTTCAAATGGCTGCTGCAATATGTTAGAACTCGAGCTGATGTTCTTAAAGCTCTATCATGTGTCCTCCGAGCCTGAATGACCACAACTTAATAAGTAGCCATTTAAAATAGTACCACGTTTATATCACAACAATTTAATTGGCTTGTCCTTGCAATTTAATGGACTAACCTCTTTTTAGAACCTTTTCTCATGTATTCAAAATACATATGAGTACAAATATAAATATATATTACCAGTCAGTGACAAAAATTTATTTTAAATGACTACAATTCATCTTGAACCAACTAGCAGGAAAGCTATATTTCCTGTACATGACAAAAAAGAGGATGGTGACATATAAGCTGAGAAAGCACTTTAAAATTACTGCCCTTATTGGTATGGGATGGACAAAGTCTGAAATAATAGAGCAGTAGTTCCCTTAGAGACAGTCTTTTACCTAAAAAGTAAGTGAGGTGCTCCCTGGGTGGCTCAGCAGTTGAGCATCTGCCTTTGGCCCAGGGCGTGATCCTGGAGTCCCAGGATCGAGTCCCGCGTCGGGCTCCCTGCATGGAGCCTGCTTCTCCCTCTGCCTCTCTCTCTCTCTGTCTATCATGAATAAATAAATAAGATCTTAAAAAAAAAAAGAGTAAATGAGTTAATAAAGTGCTTTAGAATTATGCCTGGCACATGTCAAATATGTGTTTTTTGCGGTGTTGTTATTTGAAGAAAAAATTCAGATAACATTCCTTGTTCAGCAGATTACTAATGGCATTTGTGACACTTCTTACAACAGCATCTCAAAAAATATTTAAAAAGCACTTAAGCCCTTGGAAACAAACTGTTGCTTCTTTATGATCATATTAAGAGTGGGTCACTTTACGTGTCTGAGCTTAAGTTTATTATGATGGTATCAACCTCCCTAAATTTAGCCAGTTCAAGTTGAATCCCGTAATGATCGACGCTGCTACGCTCCACAGAGAGCATCCTAGAACCAAGGACAGTGTGGGAGGCCAGCGTTCAAACAGTCATGATAAAATCATCATAAATAAATCTTAAAAAAATAAAATAATAAATTATAAGGGAATTTAAATAACCGTAAAATAATACAGCGATAAAAACTACAGCCCCGCAGAGCAGCTTTCGCGCTTGGCGAGTTTCCCGGGGAGCGCGGGGAGGGCCGAGCGCACCGCTGCACCGCGTGCGAGGGGCCACCCCCGAAGACGCCGCCATCCGAGTTCGCGCCCCACCCTGGAAGGGCAGGGAGGGCCGAACCGTGACCACCGCGCCAGCGCCACGCAGCCCGACTGAGGATGGGCCAGAGTCAGGTGTCCTCGGGCCCTCTGAGCGCCCCCCGCCCGCTCCCCGCCCCAGGGCCCGGTGCAGCGCGGACTCGCGCCCTCCGCGCCCTCCGCGCCCGGCGGTGCGCGCCCAGCGCAGCTGCCGCGGGTTCGGTCCCGCCTCCCCGCGCAGACGGCCTCGGAGCGCCGGCGGCTCCCTGGCGCCCCCTGGCCCGCTCGGGCGCCCGAGGTTTCCGGTGAGCCGCAGCCGCCGGTTGTGACGACTCGGTGCTCTGGAGCGGCGGCCGTCTCCTCCTCCTGCGCAGCCCCGGCGCCCCCGACTGCAGGTGGGACGCGCTCGGCTGCCCGCGGACCCCCTCCCCCGCCGCCCGTCCCGGGGCGCGGTGGGGCGGCCGCACGCGGCGCTCCCGGGGGCCCTCCGGCCGCGGGGAAGGATGCTCCGGGGGTCGGCGCGCCCGCCCTGGCGAAGCCGCTCCCCGGCACCCCCCCCTCCGGGGCGGGTGACCGGGAGTGTGTGCAGGGGGTGGGGGTGGGGGGCGGGTGCAGGGCGGCGGGCGACGAGCGGGGACTCCGCGCCCGCGAGGGGGCAGGACGCGAGCGCGG